CCATTTCTCAACGTTGAAAAAACGTTGAAATAAGAGGTTGTACTTGAAAATTTGCTTTTCTACAACAAAATTAAGTGAAACGAAAGAAAAGAACAAGCTAATTTAAAGATAATTTTCATTGCAGCAATTTCTAAAAAGATTTTTATTTTTATTTTAATTCTAGTTAGATTAGTTATATTTCATAATTTCTTTAAGTTACTTTTGGTGTTTAATTTTAGTGTTTTACAAAGTTTTAAGTGTAAAAAATTATTTTAAATATAGATTTTTCAATTTTATGAATTAATTTTTATTCAGGAGTATTATTATCTTGGAGTGCCTAATTTTTTGTTATATTTTCTCTAAAATAATATTAATTTGATAATATGTTATCAGTGTGAGAATGTAATCTCAAAATACAATTAAAAATATGGTAGGATGAGGTACAGAAACCAATGATCCATACGCTGTGTTTCTCTTCAAATCAAATTTATGTTTAGCGTAAAATATCTGTACCAATAGAAACCACTCGTAAAACTTTTGATATTTATTTGGTCTATTAAAATTTTATTTTAAATTTCACATGGTTTTTACTTACTATGAGTGTTAGTGTGAAAACACGCGCAAACTGGCGATCTCTTTATTTTCCTCAAAATTTACAATGATACAATTACAATAATATATAAATAACAATAATAATATTAACAAAAATAATAATATTAATAATAATAATAAAAATAGTAATAATAGCAAAAATAACAATAATAGTTACTATAAAAATAATAATAATAACAATAATAATATTTGTAATAATAGTTAAAAATAGTTAATAATAGTTCTGTAAATATTTATAAAAATAACAATAAGCAATAGTAATGGCAGCAATATTTATTATAGGAATTTATAAAAACAGCCCTAAAAACAACAAAAATTGATTTTAAAAATTATACGTTAACGGTATTTTTTAATAGAAAATAGAATAAACTGGTTTTAAAGGTTGAGAATGAATTGGGAGATTTTAGTTTTATAGAAGATTGTTCCAAGTTTTAATGCTTTGATATTTTATAGATTAATATCTTTTTTGTTTTTTATTTTTATTTTCGCTTTATTTTAACTTTATTATATGAATTATGAAAAGATGCATAACTTTATTTTCTAAACAAATTGTACAGTTAATGAATTACACAAGCGTATTAATATATTAATTTTAATATTATTTACTTAAATATATAAATAAATACTTTTTTATGACTAATAATGTTAGTTATATTTAAGCTAAAGCTAAAATTATTTAAATAAACCAGAATAATAAATAATATTTCAATTGTTATAATAATATGGATTCATTTATTTTAACACCTAATTCATTAATCTTTATGATACATAACTTTTGTTTGATAATGATCTTATGTTTATGTAAACTAAATTAACTTTTGAATATCTCAGTAATATTTGTTAATTATATTTGGGTCTATGCATGATCTTCAAATAAGATGTCATGGCATGCAGAGAACAAATACTGAATAATTTGCTATTATTTTCAAATAATATACCAGCGTTGGACATTTGCTGAACAATAATGGGTCGTTAATAGCCATATTTGAAAACATTATTGGTTCAATATTGGATCCATAACTTATCCAGTATTTTGCCCATACTTTCCCAATAAAGGTCCAATTAGTGCTCCCCAATATTTGTCAACTGTTTCCGGGCAATTTTGGCCCAATATAGTAGCTATTATTTGCCCAATAATGGTTAAGGAATTTAATCTGAAAATTGTTAACAGTCTGAATTGTGAGCTCGAAAAGCTTAATGAATGATTTCAACCAACTCTCTCTGAACACACTTAAAAGCAAATACACTCTCTTTTCTAAATTTTTTAAGTCTGACACATTGCCCTAACAGTCCTGGGTATTTCATTAAAAAACACCTGTAACAATCGTCTTTTTGTGTTGAATTCTTAGGCATTTTACTCGATTAGCAAATAACTTAGAAAGAGCACATTAATCTAATAGAAAATAAAATTTCAAAAGGTATTGGAATTATGCCAATTTACTTTTCATTTATTTATAACTATTTTAGTTATTGTAAGATTACCTTGGTAAGAACTTATTTGTTATAATTAATGTGTATCTTAAAAACTCAAAGCAAGCAAGCCATATTATATTAAATGGCGATAAAAACACATGCGCCAAATCATTGCTTAAAAAGCTTGGAGTGCTAAAGCTTACAGATTAAATGTTTGTAGCAATCTTCTATTTATATCATTTGCTTCCAAATATTTTTGAAAGCCTTTTCGTTATTAAAGATCATAAATATCAAACAAACCATTCGTTGCATAATTATCAATTAAAAAAAACTTATTTTGAATAATCTGATTATTCAAAAACATATTCTAGGGCACATTTGTGTAACTCGATTTTTTCAAATCATTTTAAAATAATAATTTCAATTAATAGTTTTAAAATTATTTCAAAAAGTATTTATGATACGAAATTAGAGCCGCTCTATTGTAAACAGAAGCATGTCATACGTGAGATTAATTAAAAAAAAAAGAACACCTAAAAACTTCTCTTTAAAGTTATTGAAACCCTAACCCTAAACTTCTCTTTGAAGTTTTGAGGTGTTCTTTTTCTTTAACTTTTGGGTCTTCTTTTCTAACCCTAACCCTGACCCTTACCCTTACCCTAACCCTAACCCTAACTCTAACCCTGATAGGATTCTTAGTTAATGCAACTATACGACCTAACCCGATAAAAAAAAATGTCAATTAGCTTTAGAAAACGAATTAAAAAAACAAGGGAGAGAAAGTTAAACTTTTAAAACTAATGCTAATTCCGCAATAACTTTAACACGATAGCATGACAACATATGCGTTAATTTGATTTCAACTTCAATTTCAACTAATTTTAAAAGTGTTTTTTCACTGTCTTGATATTGCAAAAGTCAATGGGTGGCTTCATTATAGACGCCACTGCGATCAACTTAAGGTGCCTAAAAAATCTCAAATAGGTTTGTTAAAATTTACTTCAGATATTGCTTCTGGTTTAATTAGTTCTAAAAAACACTTAACACAGTAGGACGACCATCAAAAAGGAAATCAGATAACGCATCGTTTACTACAACAACAAAAAAATCTACCAATAAATATTCACGTAAATGACTTAAGATATGACAATTTTAGTCATTGGCCAGAATTCAGAGAAATAAAAAACAAATACAAAACTGGTCAAGGAAGAATGTATTTCCAGTTTTTGCAAAACTGGCTAAGGAAGAATGTATTGCAAAAAATGTAATTTGTGCTTTGCATGAGCAATACAAGAAACTGTTTTTTTGATTTTCATTGTAAATAAAGTCGCAAAATTAAAAAATATTTCTGACCTCTTGACCATATTTCAACCTTTTAAAGTTTTATGAAAGAAAAAAACATATAAAACTTTTCTAGAGAGATTTAAAATGATGAAAACAGTCATTTATTTATTTTAGAACTTTTTACTTGTTTTAATAAATTTTTAAAATTTACTTCCCTTAATGCCCGTACTATATACCCTTAATGCCTTTCTTTAATGCTCGTACGACGATAAGACAAATTGTGTCTTCTTCTTGCCCCGACCAACTGTATTTATACTGAAATATCGATTGTATGTATATATACTTATTTGGCAAAAAAAAAAGACAGTATAAAGTCCATTACCCATAGGAAATAATTTTTACTCAAAGATTTCAATAGGTGGGCTTTAATAGGTTATACAAAAATAAGTTAGAGCAATTCAAAGTAATATGTGGGGCACCTCATATCTGAAACAAGTTTTTATTAATTATTTAAATAATATTGATTTAAAATACTTGAATTGATTTAATAAAAACTAGTACTTTTAAAGTTTAAAAATCTAGTTATTACTTTTTTCTAAATTTATACTTCTTAAATAATTTCTTATTTTTTATTATATATAACTTAATTTTGAACATTGCGTTATTATCAAATGTGCAAATATAAAAAAAAAATTAAAAACGATAAATATATTAGTATACTTGTTATGTAACATTTTATTATCATTATAGTTTAATGTTTTAATGTCAAAATTTAATAAATACGTTTTATATTTATGGCAACGTAAGGCGGTTCATGATGATAGTACCATTTGGTTTTCTTCAAGTTTTCCGCGTTCTTTTTACAGTATGAATTTATTATTTTGTAAAAAAAACTTTGCAATATTCACATTAACGAATCTTCATCATGAAACAAAACACTTGTCATAATGTAGAACAAAAAGTTCAATTAAAATAAAATAAATGAAATAGTTAAAATAAAAAACGATTACATAGAGAGTAACTGTTATTATAGAGATCAGTTTTTAAGTGCAGTGGATTTCTTAAAGTCTTTACTATCTATAAACAGCGCAAAACAAGAAACCACAAAAAAAAAAAAAAAAAAAAAAAAGCAAATAAAACAGCGTTTTATCGTGTTTATATTTTTTTATCTTCTTTTTTGTACATTATGGTTGAGCTTTTTTATAAATGTATCATTATTTTTAAATATCTTTTTTTCAAATTTTGAAAAAAAACAAACTTAAATAAAACCTAAACGGCACATTAATAGAAAAGCTCGCATTAAATATAAGTGAAATCAGTCTTTTTTATTTCTCTAAAAATTGGAATCAGCGCTAATAGGCCTAAGTGTTACATTAAACCATAAATTCTTTAAATGACTTTTTTAATCGCGTTCTGATTGGAAACAGCAAAGGAGTTTAATAAAATATATCTTGCATGTGAAAAAAATTTTTTTAAATACATTCTGTTATTGAACCAAAGAAGGTTATTTAATTGTATTATTCGTTAAATATTTACACAATAATTTAAAAAAAAAATAGTTGATTTTTTATTTTGCATGTTATTTTAGCATACAGATTAATAATATATGTCAGCTTATTATGGTAAGTTGATACCACTTATTAATCAAATATGGCAAGATTACATCATTTTTTGACCTTTAATAGAATTATGTTAAATACCACGCTATGAAATGTTCGTGTATACTTTGAACAAATGGTAACTTGATGTACCAACATTCCAGTTTATGCAAGGCTTTGTTAAGACGCAGGGAAGATTAATCTTCAAAACCATTTTTCAAAAACAAAAACGAAACAATCGATCAAAGTTTGAGTGCAAATATATTTATAAAAGTATCTTTTCTAGTTTTATTCATCAGTTAATAGTAAAATAAATTTTTCGTTTTATGTTTTATTAAAGTTTATTTTAAATATGTTTACCGCTAAACGTTTGATATAAGAATAAATTTTCATATCAAATCTTGTTACTCAACTTACCGCACAATCAACATAAGAAGACACTCGACTAGACTAAAATTAACATTGTAGCTACAAAGCATGTTCTACAGTAACACTTTATATAAGCAACTACTAATTTTTACGGTAATAAACAAATAGAATGATGTTGATAACTTATTTGGATAAAATGTTAAATGTGTTCCCTTTTTAGTAATTACAAAATGCAAGTTGCAAATCATGATAACTATAGACAAGTGTTTTTATAAATATATTTTCAACAACCTATTCCATAAAGCTACAAGAGAGTCTAAAATGCATATCAAAATCTAAAGTATAAAATGCTAAAATGTAAATCTAAAATGCATCTAATATGCATCTAAAAACAGGTTTATTTAACCTCTGAATTTACGTCAACAAAGAGCGCTGAGTTTATCATATAGATGTCTTTTAAATGCATTTTATTCAAAACGAATTAATTACTTTGCATAAAAGTTGTGAAATATGCATCTAAAAAATATATATTAGATTTATGAAATACGTCTCTTAAATAGATGTCTAAAACGCGTTTAAAATAGATGTATAATAGATGATTTAGCTATTAATAGCTTCTTTATATATCTAATATACATCCTTAAGATGTATGTTTCATACTTTTATGTATCTTAAAGAATGCGTTTTTTAGATGTCTATTTGTAGACATATTTTGTATGGAGTATAATACTTCTAAAAGACATCAATGTCTTTTAAAGGCATTATATTCCATACAAAAAAAAGGTGTCTATATCTATAAAGAAAGGTTTTTGCTTCGAAACGAACCTAATAAGAAAAAATCTTAAATCAAAATTGAGCTGCAACTAGGAAAAATTTCATATATATCATACAATAAACTGATTGTGCGCGAGTGGGTGTTTATACAGTTATCGAATCTTCTCAATATCTTAAAAAAATAAAAATAGTTTTTCAATTTTAAGCATTAATATTCGAAGTTTAAATAAAAATTTCGAAAGTATTAAGATTTTTTTGGAATAATTAAAACACGAGTTTAATATTATTTGTCTAACGGCAACTTGGTGTAAGCGTGGTAAAACAAACGCCCAATTCGAATTAAATAATTACTCATCATTCGTTCACTTACCACATGGTTTTGGTGTTGGTGGGGGCGCATGTATTTTTATTAACAACTTAATTAATGATAATTACGTCGCGATCTTTGTGTAAATAAAACTGATTATGATTCATTATGCAATTAATAAATAACTAATAATTGAACTAATAAATGAAATCACAAAAAAAAATTATAAATGCCGCATATAAACCTCCATCTATTAGCTTATAAAAATTTAAAACTCATCCTAAACCATTCTTAACAAATATAAATAAAACCCATGACAAAAAGTCATGCTTACTTAGTTTGGGACTTTGCCATTGACCTAAAAAACCATGCTTTGAATAATAATGTTAACAATTTTATAAACTTTTCTTTTTTTGAATTCTTCAAAATACTTTAATTCCGACAATAAACAAGCCAACGAGAGTGGCTAACAACTCTTCTACACTTCTTGATAATATAATAACCATCATAATAACCGTCTTTGCACAAGCGTAATCAAAACTGACGTATCAGATCATTTCCCAACATTCTTAGTTACTAACAATGTATTATTTAACAGTATTCCTTCTCAATTCATTTTAATTAGGCGACAAATCAATGAAAACTCGGTAAAACAATTTCAAAATCTTTTAAGAGACAAAGTTGATTGGAATATGGTATTGCAATAACTTGACGTTAACGACGTATAGGGTTAGGGTTACGAATATGATCTGTTTTTAACAACGTATATGATCTGTTTTTAAATCAATTCAGCAAACAATATTATCAAGCATTTTCTGAAAAAAAAAAGATATTGTAAAAACTATAACTCTTTTAACTCCATAGATGTTTAACGGGTTACTAAAATCTTCAAAAAGAAAACAAAAGTTATATGATAAGTATTTGAAAACAAAAACTTATAAAAATGAAACGGCATATAAAAATTATAAAAATATATTTGAAAAAACAAAAACGAACTCAAAAGAGCTTTATTACGCAAAATTATAAAGTAAAGCCATCGGAAACACTAACAAAATATGGAGTGTAATTAAATAAATAAATGGAAAAAATAATTCTGCAAGAAGAAAAATAACAATTGATAAAAAAACAATTTGTGATAAATCAATTATTGCTGAAAAACTAAACAGATTCTATACTAATGCCAGGCCGAATTTAACATTAAAAATTCCTATGAATATAATACCATTTGAATATTATTAAAAAATTTTTTTTTTTTACCTTATAACTAATAAAAGTGCTGGATTTGATAAAAATAACGTTAATGTTGTAAAATCAGTATATAATATAAATGAACCCTCGTTATTTCACATATTTAATTTTGTATTTAAAACAGGTATTGTTCCAAAAAAGCTAAAAATTGCATGAATCAGGCCGATATTTATGTCCGAAGATTACTCAAATATATCAAGTTATAAGCCTATATCTATTTCATCTTGTTTTTTAAAATTAACTAAAAGAATAATGTACAATAGTCTTTTTAATCACTCAACATAGAACGACACGTTGTATTCAAAACAATACGGTTTCAAAAAAAAAATTCAACGGAATATACTGTTGTTGAACTAGTCAATCAAGTATCAAGTGCATTCACTAGTAACAACTTTAACTTAGGAGTTTTAATTGATCTGTCAAAAGCTTTCAATACCGTTGATCATATTATACTAATAAAAAAATTTGAACTCTATAGAGTATAAATAACAATTTACATTGTTTCAAAAGTTATTTGACCAATAGAAAACAATTTATAGGGTATGAACAAAAACATTTCCGTCTGCGGTAATTTGTGGGGTTCTCCAGGGCATTATTTTATAACCACTGATGTTCCTAGTGTACATAAATGGATTAAATTTTGCAACAGACTTATTAAATTATATTCTTTTTGCAAATGACTCAAATCTTTTTTTTTCTCCCACAGAGATATTAATACACTATTTGAAACAACGAACGAACAATTATCAAAAATTAATTAGTGTTTTGTAATAAATAAACTTTCTTGAATTGTGGATAAAACAAAGTTTATTTTGTTCCACAAAATGAATAAATCAAAAAACAATTTCCATCAAATTGTCTAGTTTAATAATCAATAACATTAACATTAATATAGAAAACTCAGTAAACTTTCGAGGCGTAATCTTAGATAAACATTTACACTGGAGTTTACGTAAAAAGTATTGAAAATAAAATATCAAAAAATTTAGCAACGATATATATGGACTAAACCGTTTGTCTTTAAAAAGTTTATATTTCTCTTTTATTCATTGATATTTAATTTATTTCAATATTGCATGGGCAAGTACAAACCATACAAAATTTAAGAAATTGTACAGTAAAAAAAGACGCGAGCAGAACAATTTTTGGAGCTGATAAAACTGTACCTTGTGTGTCTCTTCTGCGTATACTTGGAGCATTACAAATATATAAAATCAACTTACTCCAAGTTTTAATGTTCGTGTATAAAATAAATATAGGATTATCTCAGAAAAATATTTCAATTCTATTTTGACAAAATAGTTTATAAATATCTAACAAAATTTCCAAATAACAAATTTGTTTCCAAAGTTATAATTCAAAACTAACTTCATATTCAGTTCTTTATAGTGGACCTTGTTGAAAATGTTTCCCAAGATATACATAAAACTAGTATAGAGCAGTTTAAAAATGAATTAAAAACAGGCATTCTTACTTATGGACTTTATTATACCCAATTTTAAATGTTTTTTTTTTAATTAAAACACAAATACAAAAAAAAAAAAAAGTTACTACAAAATTATACTACTGAGTGTATCAACATTTTTTTTTTCATTACCTTAAATATGATATTATCTCTATGGTTTGCTAATTTATTTACGTTATTTCTATGAAATATACTAATTGATTTATGCTATTATCATGGTGTATAATAATTTATTTATTTTTTGTTTTTAAATTTTAAAATTTTAAGTTTTAAGCAAATGATAATATCTTATTTGTTTTTTCTTATTCACTTCATCTTACTCTTTCCTTAAATTTTGATTTTATAAATTTTCCTTTAAATCACAACGAATTGTTTTCTTTTTTACTTTTATATTTTTTTAAATAAATAGTTGGTAGCTATAGATACTTAGATATTACGGTTTTTGTTATTATGAGAGAATAGGGCTCGGTGATTATACTAAATAAGTCTTCTTGCTCGGCCAATAATTATTTTTATTTATATGCTTCGAAATTGTATATATTATTAAAAGACAATAACTAAAAATTGAAAAAAAAAAAAATTTTGAACATAAATATGAAAGTATAAATAAAAATTAAAAACAGAAAATAACTAAGAAAATTAAACAACTCAAAAAAGTAAATAATTAAGAACTATTGAAATGTTTACAATTGCAGAAATTTTTAAGAATCACTTAAACCAGAACTTTTAAATAAAAAAAATTATAAAAATATAAAATTTCATCATCACCATAATCACAAGATAAATTTTTAACATCATAAACTTAAAATTAAATAACAAATTGAAAGTAATTGTGTAGTGCAAAATTGATACTAAAAAAATAACTTTTTTAAACCACTCACATATAGCAACATATGCAACCAACATTTTCCCTATTCCGATTTTTTGTTCTCTCCCTCCATAGTTTAATTTTAAAGCCAGGCTATTTTAAAAAATATTTTAAGTAAATAACATACACAGTCTACCTCGCCTTTAATTCTAGTTGTCCAAATAATTAACCTAAAAAAGCATTCACCCTAGTAATATTTAAAGCTACCTTTAGTTAGACTAAAATTAACATAAAATCTAATT